AAGGAAGAGGTGATGAGTTTGTCAAAGACACTGGAACAGTTGCGAAAGGAGTCGGATGCGATGGTGAGCTATTTCAACTTGCAACACTTTTTTAAAGGATGATTCCACGATACGGTCGAAGATCGAGGAAGGGGAAAGTTACCCAAAGGATGGACAGGCGGATTCTAAGGATGTTGACCGAAGGCGGGCTCCCTAACCGCTTGATTGGTACCGCAACGTTACCGCGGACGCCAGCGATTCGCAGAGTCTGACATCGGCCTGAGGGCATTGACCGACCCACAATTCGTAGCAAAGGATATGACCCTGCGATTTAGCATGGCTCTCCCCACAACGCTATCATCGCAGTACGCCCACCGACTGGCTAACCACTCGCCGCAGGTCTCTAGCCGTTTAGCAGAGAGCGTTAGCGTTGAAGAGGGCAGCACCGATGAGAGTCGCATCAATGCGGAAATCAACGGGCAAGGAAGGGGTCCCATTTCTCGGGTTCTGGCCGTTTCTCATGGTTTTTTCTTCATCCCTGCACCACTGACCACCTCTACCTTGATTCCTGTGGGCTAGCTTATGACTGTGAACTCCCCTCCAGTAAGTTCAGGAAATATATGTTCCTTGACAATGCTGAACTACATTTGTCTAATCAGCCAATTCCATTTCTTCCCAATATTTCGTGACATCATCACATTTTTATGACTTTTGTTGAGTTACGCCTTATTTTGACGGTTTCCTCCAGAAATATTGTTGGGACGATTATTTCCTCCAGAAATATTGTTGGGACGATTATTTCCGCCTGAAATATTGTTGGAACAAATTAGCGTTCTGAACTGAAACTCGTTTAGTTGCAAGTGAGGCGAGAATTTATCAACGAAAGCCGTACTCAAAGAGAGATTTCGATTGCCACATTGAAGCAACAGCAACAGCAACGAACACAGAAGGTTTAATGAACTTTTCCTCCAGTTCTCGAGGAAATATTCCTACTCTAATTGGTTTTTTTAGATAACTGAAATGGCACAGGCTATTATTACCGAATGTCTTCATTATCAAACGGAGAATCGGGACACGCTTCAGCTGTGAGTACATATACGCAAACCCATCTGCTACAAGTTGGATATTTGGTTGGTTTGTGCTTCGTTAGTCATTAAGGATATTTTGTGCACGCAGGATGGAATCCCAGCACAACGGCATATTGGAAAGGAGTCTCCGCGAAACTGAGATATGGGAGGCAACGTTCCAAGATTAGTAACGACAAAGCCGAAATGGCAATCGCTTCAGCGGATGACACCATTGACAAGACACTCTGGCAGGCAGTGACCGATAAAATGTGAGTTTTTGTACTCAGTGTTTATTAACGACGCTCAGGCAGGGTCAACCGTCGAACGAGGGTCGCATTTGTGGTTGGTTTAGGTGAGGGGGGTCGTGTTCAGGGGTTGAGGAATTAGTAGTTTGTTGGGAGATGGATTTTCAATGATTTTTGTGAATGTTAATTTAATGAGGTAGGATAAGGTGGGAGTAGTAGAATTGAAAGAATTATTTGCCGTTTCGTTTGGCTAATATCGACTAATATACTCCCTTCCCCCGCTCGACGCCTTTTGGAGGGGAGAGGTGGGCGGGGTTGGGCTGTGTCAGGCTGTGTCGTCTGGTCTCAGAATCAAACGCTATAGAAACACTCATGATGGTGAGGTGGTGGTCGGAGAAGGGAAGGGGTATCTATGGGCGAAGCTCCTGAGCTCATATGGTGGTGGGAAGTCACATGAGACCACCCTAAAGGAGAGGGTCGCGACAGTTTGAAAATGTGGAAAACGTCACGCGTTACCTTGCCTCAGGTCGTTTTTCACAACACTGACTCTTGATGTCATATAGAAACCCGTGGAAAGCCAGAGTCAGTATGCTGCAATATGATATTCTTGTCTATTTAAAATGTCGCATATGTCTGAATTGCTGGTCTACTACTATTTCTCTCCATTTTTTCCTACCTGGGTCTCAGGATCAAAGAAACAAAGTGTTTGTTTGATTGAGAGACGAAACAGGCCTCTTCGAAATTGCTTTGCCTAGCTTTCGTAATTAAATCTTGATATTTCATCCTTCTTGTTGTGTTCAGCTTGTGACTTTACACTTCTGAGCCTTCTATACGTCAACCTTTCTCCCCATTTCTCACATTTGTGCGACTTAACAGAGGGTGATTCTCTCGAATCTCGTCTCTGTCTCGGATGGGATAGGAAGTTACACGAAAAGTGAAATCTATCACAAAGCATATGTCTCACAAGGCTACTTGAGATGAAATAAGATTCCTATTATTTTGAGGTTACTGTTGCAGATCGTCTGCTGTTGGCGTTATGGAGCAAACACGCACGCATGCAGAGGAAGCCAACACTTCTATAGCGGTAATTGTTTTTATTGTTCACGCTTCGCTTTTTGTAAGAAGGTTTTCTTCAGAAAAATGTTATCTCTTTTGCTGACGAGGTAACCGAAAGAAGCAATTGTGTGAGCGATAATGTGACCGTTTGTTGAAATCCATACGTGAAAGAAGCAAAGCAATCCAGGCGGCTGTGGAAGAAAATGAGAACGTTCGCAAAAATGATCAGAATAATCAAGTAGGTTTTTAACTAATTGAAGATATGTGATTTTCAGTGGAGCAGTTATCCTTTAGGTGAACGTTGAAAATACATTCGCGCAAAATTTGCGTGATCGCCTTGGAAAGGTGAATAAAGAGATGTTAGCGATGGTAGAAGAAAATAAAACTATCTAAGTCCGAAGAAAACAGGTACTTGTTCTTGAATGTGTCGGTCTACGATTAGTGTTTGCTCCCGGAGTTGATAGTCTCTAGTTGGTTCCCCCATTCAGCTTTTTTGTGTAGGTAAAACACCTCTGAAGTCGCACTATTCGGTTCCAAAGGACTCCGAAATACCGCCGGTGCCGAAAAAGGAGAAAATTCTTCGCCTCAAATGGATTGGATGTTCAGGTAAACCTTTCATTATCTATTTTATTCGTGTTAGTGCTTGATTTCTGATTTTTCAGACACCACGCAGGTCAACGACTCGAACTCGTGAATCCTTGTTGGAAGTTCAAAACATCTGCCTTTCACCAGATACCCTCGCTGCTGCCAGGAAAAGTCGCTTAGAAGACATCGGAGAGGTATTTTGTCTCTGATGATCTTCATTAGCTGTTAGAAAGCTGGAGTAATCTGAAGATAACTCCGCGCTAAGCTGAAAAGCGAAACGTTTTATCCAGGGTTATGGTCTATATGGATGCGTGCCCATTTAGAGGTTACAAGAACTTTTCGATTTCTGTCAAGTTTGTTTACTCGTCGACAAAACGGGCGAAACTTTTTCGACACTTGTCAAAATAGCATCTTTTTTATGACCAACATTAGTAGTTTTTAAATGCGCAGCTTTTTCATCTTTTTTGTTTGAATAATGATTCGTAAGCCTAGATATACTGCATTTTTACTGTGCATAGAGCTGATTACATTTCGTAACAATTCAAAAGTAATATTGGTTCATCCGCTGTCGTTCACATCTCACCTTTAGAGAAATTAGGGGATTAGGCGATTATGTAGAAGATATGTATTGATTGGAATTAGGATGAGTTTACATGCGTGGGAGCCCTTTGAGGGAAATTAAAAGCTTAGAAAGCACCTACTATTTCATCTTCAGCCCCCATATTACCAATTGTTTCGTGGCTTCAAAGGCAGCGATTACGATAAAGTGGGAGCGCATCGGGGAAGCATATGCACCACACGAATCAGTTACTTGGCTGCCAGGGAAGCGAGGTGTAGCGCTTTCACGACGAAAGGTGCGCTGGTTGCTGAGCAGGACTTCGAAAGCACTCCGCCCCCAAAAGCGATCCGCCCACTAGTTTAGTTGGTGATTTGGACGAGCTGCGTTGCCAGCAGCGGCACAACTGGAGCAACTCGATTGGAGCGTGGTTTGGCATGGTGCCACCAAACGCGTTGCGTGAACTCGTTCATACGTCCGCTTTCTGAGCTGTTACCTGTTCATGAGTGAAAACCAACGGCCAAAAAAGGGGGTCCCATTTTGCTTTTTTTGACGGATTTCTCCGCTTTTTCGCCACTTCCGCACCACTGAGCACCACCATGCTTGAAACTATCGTAATCGCTGCCTTTAAACTCCGCTACCCTTAAAGGACGAATTCACGCTGGGAAGGCAACCCATTTCAAATTAACTTAGGGATGGTGATTGTTACATGAAAGAAGGAAGAACCATGAGAAACGGCCCAGAACCCGAGAAATGGGACCCCTTAATTCCCCGCTGATTTGCGCATTGATGCGACTCTTATCGCTGTGCCCTCCTCAACATCACGCTCTCTCTGCTATCTAATCAATCCCACGTATAGATCTGCGGCGAGTGATCAGCTGGTCGGTGGGCGGAGATCGCCAGACCCGCCAACTTTGAGGCATAATAGGTCGCCGAGGTCAAATTTTTCGATGCGAATTGCGCATCAGTTCGCACCCTCAGGAGGTCCGTGGGGGTCCCTCAACTAGGTGAATTACTTCTTCCTCGACCTATATTCTAATCGCGATACTCGTCCTTTAGCTCACTTGAACCGCGGCACTACTGTTTAAGCAGCAGCGGTGCGGCAAGCTGCTCTTCATGGTCAGGTTGTAAATTCCAAAAGGATTACTTTGTTGCAGGAGTCCTCCATCAGTCTTTCCAATCGAGCGAACAGTGAATCTTTGAAGGAAGGCCAAGAAAATTAAGGAAAAAAGTCTAGTATTTATTGCTTACCTGCTCAAGTTAAATCTGACCTCTAATCTCTGTACTCTTCAGAATTGCAGTACTTTATGTGTCTTAGACAGGCTACTCACTGTATCCATGTTCGTCCGATTCAATCATCGTCATGCTAACATTAGCATTACATTGTCTAAATTTTGTCATGTTTACATTTTTTAGTGCACTCACCTATTTACTATGTTTCAAATTCATAGAAGATTCTCATATGAATTTGGGTTAATTTATACCCATCAGTCGACACGTTCTTTTCATGCATTTCTGACATTATTTCTACTTAATAAAGACTTTTGGCTCTTTTTTGTTTGTGTGATCCCAATCAATTTTCTTCTACGTCATTGTGTCGGCCACGCTTTTTTTATAGCCACCTGCTTTGTGTCCACAGATTAGCTCACGTACCTATGTGTTAGCGTAGAAAATATGTTCACTTTTTACTTATTGCTAGTTATTTCTTGAAATCCACAAGTGGCTGCTTACAATTCACTCTAGTCACCCCTGTAAATGGTCAGTTTAACCGAGCTCAAGGAGAGTGTTTGCAGGGTTTGGTACCCAATAAAGGCCCTTCGCGCGTCGAGAACGCAGACGGGGCAGCGGACGAGTCGCGACGCGCACTGACGTACTGTAGCACAATCTATTTTGACGCCAAATCGCTACAGTACGCGCTGCGACTCGTCCGCCCACCCGTCTGCGTCTCCGCCTTCTCGGCGCGCGACGGGCCTCTTGTCGGATACCTTTGCAGGATGAGATCGTGTTCATTAAAGACAGGCGAGAATAGTCTTTTGACAGAACAATTCAGATGACATTCAGACGAATGTTGGAGACTCTTTCATCACCGCTTCCTCCCCTTCTACCCGCGCTTCAAGAATATGGATGCGGTGTTGAAATCGTGTCATGTATAGTCTGGTTCCATGACATTATTGACCGTCAACTACCGCAGGTGGGGAGAGGGTTGTATATCTGAAATCGAACGGCTACGGGGTACGCCATGCTCATGAGACTTCCCAATAGAGGCTACGACTATGGCTTCCAAGGACCTGTTCCACTCAGGAAATCCATAATTCATTATGAAAATCAAAACTATTCTGATGACTTTCGAATCACGAGCTGGCGGAAAAAAGTTGTGCTCTACAAGGCAAAGCAGGCAAACTAATATGCTATGCTTTACTACTACTATAATACTATACTATGTATTAAACTTCAGAGGCACGGATCACAATCAGATTAAGATGAGAGGATTCCCTCCTCGAGCGAGGTAACAGGACCCCCTACAGCAGAGGTGGTGGTATTGTCGCGACTTTGAAGTGCACAGCAAAGGAGCGAATGCCTTTGCTTGACCGCTGCGACCGCTGCCATTTCATCAATTGTATACCTGGCGTCGCACCATCTCGCGCGCGGTGTACGCTTTCGCGTTTTTGCCCTAGCGACGTTGTGCCTCTCCGCCGTATCACGGTCGACCTAACAATAGAAATTTCAGTGTTTCTATGGTGCTTTTCCTTTTTATCTCTTCCCCACTAACGTTCCTCTTCGTACTGGTGTTTAATTCAATGTCGAAAAGCATAACGCACCATTTGATCGCGACCTGTGCCTTTAAGGTCGTCTTTCAGTGCCGATGTCGGCTAATTCCGATTGCGCTAAACCGAACTAATCATGGTCCTGCGAGCTATATTGACTTTGATCAATATAGCAATATAAAGCTCGAGTGAAGGTGAAAGCGCTGCCCTCGTGGGTCTAGTAACTGACATTCCTATCCGCGCGATGCACGAACGAACATTTCTGCTGTTCACTGTCCGTTTGCTGTCCGCCACGTAGGACAGCTGATATTGGCCATTTCGGCCTGCAACGCTGAAGGTCCTCATGCTCTTCAATGATTCACAGCTTCTGACCGTATCGACACCTCCAAGTAGGGACACTCTTGATTCCATTCGAGACAAATTTTGGAAAGCAGTTTGTCAATCGTCTGATCTATGAGCGACCCGCTCAAGGACCATGGAAGACTGGGGCAAAGTTGGAAGAGTGTCAAGTGGAACGACGTATAAGGACGTTATTGATAATCAGCCGTCGGAGACGGAAGGTCATAATTTGAAAACCAGTGCAAAGCTGTAGTTCGACCCTGACTCCATTTCTGGTTTGCCGATACTCTCCTTTCAGGTTCCCTAATTTTGAATTACTTTCCCCCTTTAAATTATCTTCACCAATGCCTTCAAATTGCATTGTAGTCAAACTTCTTTGTTGATCGTTTTCTTCAAATTTTTCGTTGACACCATGTGATTTGGAAGCACAAAGAAGCCCAGATCCGGTCAAGGAGTGTCAAGCTCCTGTTAACGGATTGTACGTTGCGGCAGGAAGCAACCCCTCATTTGCTGCACAAGACACCTACTAAGCACTCTCATGGCATGGTCATTCCGTAAGGTACTGTAGTCGAACCTGAAGGTGAGCGTAGTGGCGGAAGAAATCAGCTGCTTACAAAGGCTAAGAAAATAAGTCCGCTTGGAGGGGTCAGCAAATGTGACGTTTCAGTCGGATAACTCCTTCTTTTACTGTAAGAGGCGCTATCAACAAAGATACGGGGACATTGTAATGTCAATGTATTTGATCTACGTGGAACATTTTTTTTGTTGATATGGGGCTAAGCCTTGGGTGATGAGAGACTCTGCGGTGCGTGAACAGTTTTCGTTTTCCCAGTATCCCTGCCCTCCCCTAGGCTTCCTCCACGAGGATCCCATATCTGCTTTGGTTAAAAGCGCCCCACGATAAACGCCCATTTCATAAGTTTGTATTCACCACATATTGCTTTGACCTCGCAAATTGAGCATAGTTAAGTGCGCATAGCGCAGCACTAACTGGGAATACCAGCGACTACTGGGGTAGAACTATGTATATCCCGATATTAGACGGCCAATTCGCGCAGAAATGCATCTTAAATGGAACCGATTTGTCCCAAGCAATAAATTTCAGGTAATGCACGACCCCTTTATTCTCGTAGGCGAGTCGGGTACAAGGTATCGAATCTGCTTGGTTAGGACCCGTATTCATGGTGTATTTCAAACATCCCACAGATTTCACGTCGTTCAAACTCCTCCTTCTCATACCCGTCTTACATCAACCAAGATCACTTAACCAAGCATTACCGGTCTTTAGCGGGATTTGTAGCCGAGTGGGAGACTTACTTGATCATTGTGGCCGCTGAATTTGTATCCCTTAATCAGAATAGCTTCGAATTAGTTGGATTACTCCCTGCAAGCATGTCATTAACCTCGTCATGCCTACGCATTAGATCCACCATTTCCACAAGTTGTTCCACGTTCCAGCGTAAAGCCCATACGTGGCCATTTTGCGGAATTAACCGAAGCCATCAAATGGATGATGCGAAATCCATTTATAATGAAGACTTTCTTGATTTGAAAAACTGAGTGCAAGATGTATTTCTGGCAATACCTTAGAATCTGAGAATAATCATAGTAATTTATGGTCATTACTCGCGAGCGTCTTAACTTCGAGATTAAACAGGACATATTGCTATCGTAAGGTGCGCCACTTACTACATACAACCTAGTTCGGTGCTTGAGACCTCTCAGAAGCCAGCAGTAGAGCTCGACCATCGCGATTGTTCTCAAATAGCAAAAGGCGAAAGTTGCAATTTCAGCTTGTGGAGCTGTTGTCATCCTGTACCATAGGCGACGAAATGGTGCTCAAATGTTCCCAAGGAAACTGAAGCTGGGACTGGGAACCATATTATAGCTTTCGGTCTATAATTATGATTTATGACAGAAAGTATGAGGTCTATTTGTCATGAGTAGTTAAGAAGTGTCTTTGGTTGATATCGACTATTTCCTCTGAAAAACATGCTGATTTATGAATTTTGAAATTCAATTTTCGAAACATGCAGGTTTGGTAAACGTGTGAAACAAGCAGTGCTCGAGGCGAGCGCCTTCTGTCATAAGACTGCTTCGCTTTTGAGAGCTACCAATCGGCGCCAATGACTTCTGAGTAATTCAGCATACATGATATACAGCATACTTGCCACCAACAGACCATTATCTGTTTGGGTCTCTGTCAAACCATCAAAAGAAAGGAAGCTCTACGAGATGCAGATGTAGATAAACTAGGAGAGGACACCTTAGTTTTTCACCTAGAAAACTTGTGATTTTTGGGACAAACGGCATCCAGCACATCCAACAATATCTCATCATTAATGATGGTGCTTTTATTTGTTAATCATTAACACGTTGACGACGATGTCGGTCAATGGTGACCGACAGGCAGTCTGTCCCGTGGGACGATGTCGGTCAATGCTGACCGACAGCTGTATAAGTTAATGAAGGCAAATGAAACCCGCATTTTTTCATGAAATTAATTAGTACTTCAATGCCTTAAAGGCAAAGTTCGGGCTCAGACCCACCTAAGAAGCCCTTACCATGGCTAGAAGTGCTGGGTACGCAAGTGCAAAGGTAGCGCCACCTTTCTACATCGAAACGCGTCACTAGGACCCTAGGCGCCATGGACTTCTAACAGACTCCACCAAACTTAACATGGTCCGCCCACCGTTCGATATCTTGTCTGCGTCGCCACGTTGATCTGCTATGCTCTCTCTTCTCGGACTTCTCTACCACTCTCCGCGCTCACATTATCTCTCATCTCCCTGCCTGTCTTTTGAACTTCTCCATGGAGCAAAATGCTCGTATTTCCTGTGTATTTCAGGATTTTCTTCCTTTTTTCTCCACTGGCGGTCCACCCCACCCCTACTTTCACATTTGAGTGGAATCACCCCATCAATTAATCCTGATTTCTTGCCTTTAACCCACAATATGTGGCAGTGACCTGAGATCTTTTCCAGTGCCCGAATTTTTTGTTAGTTAGCGATGTGCAAAATCGCTC